TCCCACCAGCCCTGAGGATTGATCTAGGGGTCCTGGCAGCAGGGGACCTCCTGGGACCTCCTCTTTGGCTTTCTGTCCCCTGCCTTAGGAAGAGGGTTCCACGTGGATCTTTTGACTCTGATCCCAGCACTGAAGGGAGGTCTGGCTGAGCTGGTCATATCCGAATCCTCTTCTGCTCCCAGACCAGCTTCCAAATGTCAGACCCCACTCCTTCCACCTCTCTCCTGGGACCATCCTTCTCCAACTGCACAGTGGGAAATGGGCAGGAATAGAGATCTGGGGGTTCAGGAAGCATGGTGCCACCTCACCCCACACCCTCACCTGCTCAGGGGCACCCACCTACATGGGCAGGGCTCATGGTGCACAAAACCCTAGGCCGGGCTTCACCCCGTTGGATACTGTGATTGCTCCCACACCCACATGACATGGGAAACTGGAGCCCCACGGAGGCCACATAACTCGCCTAGGTCACTACCCAGCAGCAGAGTGAGAAACTCAAACCACGCAACTACTTCAAATTCACTGGAAGCATGTGGGTGGGAGAAGCAAGGAAAGAGGGCGTGAATTTTCAGAGAAAGAACCAATACAGAGTCTGCAGAAGATGATGGGAATTTTATGAAGTAGGAGCTGGAGGAATGTTAGTCGGACCTAGAGGAGAATGCTTCCCATCCCATGCTTTGTTGCAGAAACGGTTTGTCCAAGAATGCTTTCCCCAGCCCTGTGTGTGTCTGTGTCTCAGAAGGTGATTTCCCACCTGTGATCCAGGTGTTGATTGGTGCTGACACAGTCCTCGCCTGGTACATCTGTCCGAAAGTCATCTTGTCTCCTGCCTTCTCCCTCCCTACCCTGGCCAGTGAGCCTATGTCCAGACCCGAGGCATAGGAACCACACATCATCTGAAGCTTGTCCTGGCCTTGGATAGGAAAGGTCCGGGGACCCCACAGCACATTGTGAAGCTCTGATCTCAAGCCCTGAGGCAGTTGGGGCTCCCCTCTGCCCACTACCCCTCCCTCGGGCCTGATCCCACCCACAGACCTCTCTGTGGGCAGCCCCCATCCTCTGATGAAGGTGTAGTTGATGGAGGGGTGAATTGGGGGCTACCCCCAGGATCCCACATGACCTTGGCAAATTGCATAACTCTCTGGGTGGTGACAAAAAGAGGTGGTCCACAGAGCCAGACAGATCTGGGTTCAAATTCTGACTTTGCTGCTCATATCAAAGCCATATTAAGCAAGGTGCTTTACCGCTCTGAACCCCAATTCCTCCTCCAGACAGAGAAATTGTCAGAGTGTAGTGTGGGGGTCGAAACTGCCCACACAAAAGAAAACTCACAAAACAGCCCTTGTATTCGTATTTTAATACTCTGCTGATATTAATGGGATGTGCATCCCAGAAGGAAGGCAGATGTGCAAACAGACAGTTCTACTCCAGTGGGACATATGCAGCCACACCAGCATCTTACAGGGTGCGCACAGGTCGTTGGAGAGCCAGGGGCAAAACGGGAGTGAAAACTCTGGGGAAACTAGAAAGTGCCCTGCTCCTGGGGAAGGGGGTTTAATCCTTAGAGCTGAGCCTCCTACCGGCGCTGCAGCATCAGCTCCCAGTGGGGCTCCTTGGCCAGGAGCAGTTCACCCCCACCCCTACCAGGGGGACCTTGGGAATGGGAGACATGGTCACTTCTGCCTCAGCTTAGAAGTTTCTTAAGATTTGCCCCAAAGGACTCTAGCAGGGCTGGGACTAGGGAGGCAAGCAGGACTCAGGGTCCTGCAGTGGGAGTGAGTGCTTCTTTTAATTTTGCATGATACGTATCTAACCTGCCCCACCCTCATCCCAGCCCTCGTTCTAGTCCTACAAGATACTCAGCCAAGAATGGGCTCCAGAGTGTATGATGTTATGAGAATATTTCCTGCTATGGCCCAAGTTGGGAGAGTTATGGAGCACTCTGAGCGCACTGTGGCTGCAGGGCCTTTGCATGTGTGGAATCCCCTGTCTGTAACACTCTCCCCCTAGATACCACTGTGGCTCACACTTTCCTTTATTCAGAGCTCCTCAGAGGTCTCTGGGCCACCCTGTCTAGAGCAGCCCTCCCCCATTGCTCTCTATTGCTTTTTCCTGATTTATTTTTCTTCATTACACTTGCCCTATTTCTCTACCTGCCATATTTCTCAGCGTTGATTCATTTGATTATTTTCTCTTCTGGGACGTCAGCTCCATGAGGGCAGCACTTGCCTGCTGTCACTGTTGTATTCTCAGTACTTAGAACAGTGCCTGGTATTGAAAAGATTCCCAATACATTTTTTTCGTGAATGAAGGCAAGATAGGAAGAAGGAAGAAGAGAAAGCTTGTGAGAAGTCTTGAAGGGAAGGAATATGCTTAATTTTATTTAACCCAATATCTCTCACACTTAGTTGATAATAAACATCTTGTTGCCTGACACCTGTACTAGACGTTCCCTATTCTCTATACGCTCAGGGAGACACTGTCCTAGGGCGTCAGCACCACCCGGTCCCGCACCGCCTCTCAGTTTCCTCTTCCCATCTCCCAGGGCCCCCCTCTCTGCCGTGCAGCGGGCTGCCCCTGCGCTCACGCCGCCGTGCCCCTGTGAGTCCTCTTGCCCCGGACATCTGCTACGCACTGGGGTGCTCCTAACACGCCCACCGATTACCAAAGCTTCTGCCGTTCCCCCCAGATCCCACCGGCCTCACACCTTGTAATCCCCTCACAGCTTGCCCACACACGGGGCCCCTGCAAGCTGGCACTTCAGGCCCTCCCTGGCCTGCCTCACACGCACACGCCATCTGCACCCTCCGCGGGCTGGCTGGAAGATTTACAGATCCGAGAACATGTCCTTCCTGCCTCCTTCCAGTGGGAGGGGGTCCATCTTTGGACTGATGATGCTCAACTCTAAGCTTTACCTTCAAACGTGAGCGGGGAGCAGCCCCACTGGAAAGGTGAGCTAAGGCGTCAGCCCAAGACTGGGAGTGACAGCAAAGAGGATCAGGTCCTGGGTTACTGTCATGGCCCCCCAGCAGCACACCCCTCCTCCCCAGGGCTGGACGTGAGGTGTTGCCAGCCCCCCCTCACCCTTCCCCACCCCCATCATTTGAGAGGCTGCATATAGCATGGTGGTCATATGGAACCCCAGGCCTGTCACTTACAGCTGTGTGATCTTGGTGGTTACTTTGCCTCTCTGTTTCCTCGTGGAAAGTGGGAATAATACTAGTTCCTCTCTCCTAGGATTATCATGACAATTCAGTGAATGAGTGTGTATGAAGCCCAATGCCTGGCTCAGAGTAGGTGCCATGCAAATGTGTGCAATTATTACTATTACACGCCTGGCTCATCTTGTCCCAGAGTCCTCTCTCTCACTGGGGTCCTTCCCCCTGAGGGCAGCCTCCTTGTCTGTTATGGCTCAGGGCCCTGCTGAGCTTGGGAATTTCCCTGGTCCTCTGGTCTGAGCAGGTTCCCCTAGCCCCTTCCACAACCTGCACCTTCCTCTGCCCACTGAGTATGACTGTGTTATGATTTGTCCCTCCACTCTGTGTTCCTGGAGGGCAGGGCAAGGCTAGCGCCATCCTGCATCCTGGATGCTGGCCCAGGGCCTGCTCAGAGCAGGTGGGAGCAAACTTGGGGGCTGGCAGCTCCATCCTTCCACCTGGCTCTGCTCGCTGGGTTCAAGGACCACGCAGGCTGCAGGCTCTGGCGCTCCCAGGAGCCTGACCTCTGACCTAAGGTAGAGGCTGCCCCGGGGTAAGCCCTGTGCCTTGGGCACTGGGACCTGCAGCCTCAGACCACGCAGGTTAATTCTGACTCCAGCTTCCAAACTGATCCTCCCGAGTCGATTCTTGTATTTTTTCTTTCTTGTTTTTATGGAGCGTTGTAACCATTAAGTTCCCGGCAGGGGTCAGGCCCCTGGGTTCCATCCGCTCAGGTTGCCTGCACAATTGAAATCCCTGAACCCATCCTGGCTAGTTTTCTCATTAAGGCAATCGGAGTGGATTGACCCATTAGATCGATGGCTGGACATCAGCCTGCGGGAAGCCAATAGTGAACCTGGACGATGAGCCCAAGAATGAGGTCGCCTGCTGAGCTGGAGTGGGTGCCCAGACCTCTGGGATGGGCTCCGGCAGGCGGAGTTGGTCAGAGGCCTCAGCAGGCTGGATTTTGGTGTGGAGGCAGCAGTGTCCTGGGGTGTGTCAGGGTAAGAGTCCCAGCTCCTGGGGGCTGGGCAAGGGCTCCCTGGGGCAGCTGGTGGGCAAGAAGAATCCTCCAGCGCTTGCAGAGGTTTGAAACCCCTTCCCAGGCAGTCAGTCCGTAGCCACCCCTCCCCACCATGACCTAATGTTGGAACTGCCTCTCCCGTTGGACAGCAGGGCATGTGTGATGGGAGACATGGGGTTCAGGAAGCAAACAGCAGTTCCCCAGACTCATCCCCTTTCTTCCTCTTTCACCAGGAGTACTTTGGTTATGAGGCTGGGGTTAGAGGGGTCTGGGCACCTGGAACACCATATCCTGATGTGGATTCCATGGGTCCCTGGCTGCAGAGGGTGCTGCTAGGTCTTACCGGGTGGCAGAGGGACCCATGATGGCACAGGTTTGGAAATGCTAGGTTGAAGGCATTTCGGCATGTGTATTTCCTGCAGGGCATAATAGGCTAAGCGTATAGCCACTCTCTGAAGAGGGGGTGGAGGTGTAGTTTTGCCCACAAGACTGTTCCTCTGGGATATCTTAAAGAAATACATTGAGGCACTTCCTCCAGGAGCCTGCAGGTCACACTTGGGAAAGGGGAAAATCCATGCCTAAAGGAAATGTCTTCAGAGTGGGAGTGGGGCAGGGGGGCCAGGGAGATCCCAGAACTGGGAGGAAGAAGAGGGTGGTGAGCGTGTCTCGGGCCCAAGGTCGCCAACCCCACAGACTGCCCTGCAGACAGCACCCCTGGGTGCTAACCCCACCCTCCTCATCTGCTTACACTCACTGTCCCTTTCTCCTTGTCCCAACAGGCTACCTGACTGTCAACATTGAGCCTCTCCCCCCAGTGGTGGCTGGTGATGCTGTGACCTTGAAGTGTAACTTCAAGACGGATGGTCGCATGCGCGAGATTGTGTGGTATCGGGTAAGTTGCTGCCGCTGTCCCCTCTGTGCCCACAGCCAGGGCCCAGGGCAGAGCCCCCAGAGCCCCTCTGGACACCTGCACTGGCTTGGCTGTGTCTTCAGCCCTAAGCCAGCCCCGGGTTGTTCCATGTTATCTTCCAGGTCCCCATCCTCTGCCGACAGCCCCTCAAAGACCACCTTGCTCAGCGTTCTCTTCTGCCCTCAGTGTCTGTCCTGCTCAAGTCTCCTTTGCATCTCTAACATGGCCCTCTGCTAAGGAAACCCCGTTAATGCCAAGAATGAGCCACTAAGAACACTGTGGACTCTGGTCGCAGGGTAACAGCTACGGAGTTTTGAAGGGTGGACTTTCAGGCCTGGGGCTCTGGGTGATGTTTTCGGAAGGGGAGAGAACAGGGTGGCTTCCTACTGTCTTAAAACCAAATTACAGAGATAGTCAGTCTCCTAATCTGACTCCATGTAGGACGTGTCCTGGTATCTGGCACCCTAAGTTTAGGTCTGAGAAGGGATGCTGTTAGAGATGAGCAAGTGTCCACCTGCCCAGCGCCCAGGTGTTGGCAACAGGGGGACCAGCTCAGGGTCTTGGGCACAAGTGTTGGCCTTTTCAGCCACTGAGAGAAACCTTTGTGCGTCTGGACTGGGCATTCCAGCCTGGACCCCCTTTGCCACAAGGTCAGGGCTGGCTGGAGGAGGTCCACTTGGCACTGATGTCTTTCAGTGCCATGCTCAGGTTTGCAGAGAGCAGGGCACTGCCATCTTGGGAATGGGTTAGGAGGGGAACTCCTTTTCCATGATCTAAAACAGAGGGTGGCAAAAGTTTTTGGTGAGGCCCAGAGAGTAAATATTTCCCTATCTTCGAACTCCATGGTCTCTGTTGCAACTACTGGGCTCTGCTGTTGTAGCACAAAAGCAGCCACAGACACTGTGTCGATGGAAGGGCATGGCTGGGTTCCAGTAAGATGTTATTCGTGGACACTGAAACTTGAATCTCATATACTTTTCATGTGTCACAACATATTCGTCTTTTTTATTATTTTCAACCATTGAAAAGAGTTTTAAAAAAATATGTTCTTGTCTCATGAGCAGTACAAAAACAAGCCATAGGCTGATTTGGTCCACCAGCCATTGGTCACCAACCCCTGATCTAAAACAACCCTTCTTTAACCTTTATCAGCAGTGTCAGCCACCCTTTCTTCAAATGAAACCTGTGGGTGGTACACAGGAATGGAACTGCTCTAGATGGAGCAGACAGAGTGTGGAGTGTGGACTGGGGATGTGGAGAGGGGGTGGGAAGTGAGGAGGGCACAGTTTGGTGATAGTGCATCTGAACTGGTTCCTGGTTTCCACACCCACGGACTGTGACCTGGGCTCCTTTTGACCAAAATCATTGTTTTGCATCTTAGCACATGGCCCTTCCACTTAGAATCACCTCTGGGGCCCTCCAACCAAGCGCTTGGGTAGCCTGGCCCCCACAGGTGTGAACCTGACATTTGGCACCGCGCAGGGCCCCAGCTTTACATGAGGTTTCCATCCTGCATAGCTCAAGGGGGCCTAGAGAAAGTCAAGGCATATGTTAAGTAGTGCCATGAACTGGATCACTGAGAGGCATATTTACATGGTATGGGAACCGCTTGGCTGACACACACTGCAAGCATCTCATTAGCACCTGGCAGAAGGACCGAGATAAATTAACTCCAGCTCACTGCTGACAATGGGACCATCTCTTCCTCAACCATCCATAGATGGGGGCAGAGTGAGGGGCTGTGAAAGACCTGCCCATCTGGCACAGGAATATGGAGACCCAATGGGGCAGCTAATAGGGATGAAGGTGGGAAGGAGCTTGGAGACAGGAAGATACCAGTGGGCACCTCATTGCATTCCTGTCCTTGAAGCAACTATCCTCCTTCTGTGTGCATTAAATGTTACCCCATCAGTGGTGAAAATCTCCCTGCCTGGGTGGGGGCAATACCAGCACCTAGGAAACCAGGACAGACTTCCACATGGTTCCGCCCCAAGCCCTCTGAAGATGGAGGTAAAGGTTGGGGCAGGAAGCAAAGGCCCAGTTTCCAGTTCAGACAGAGACTTTCCCTCCCATTCTCTGCTCCCACTCCTGAGAACCCCGTTCACCCCCATGCCCTGCCATCTCCGTCCACTCTAGCCTGTGATCCCATTTACTGCTTTAAGAATGAGTTACATCTCTTACGGGTGTCAGGCCCTGCGTATCAGGATATGGTAGGCTGCACTAATTAATTTATTTTATTTCATTTCACATCCTTTGACTGAGGGCCTCTGGAGCAGGGGTGGCAGGGGTGTGTGTGCAGATGTATGCAAATCATATGCAAATCACCCACTGGAGCCAAATGCTTGGGCCCTTTTGATTCTGTAGCTGGACCAGCAGGCTTAGCTGACCTGGTACTCTCCTTGGGACTGGGGAGCCCACGTGCCCTGTCTGAGATGGTGAGAGGGGGGCGGAGGATGGGAAGAAATTCCAGGGAAGTGGCTCCATGCTGCCAGCTCTCTGCCTGCTGTCACTCTGGCCCTCCCTCACCAATGGCCTCTTTTCCCGAGGAACCAGCTGAGTACAGAGAGATAAGAGCTTACTAAGGTGGGGCCTCTGGGAGCCAAGGCTAGGGCGGGGCTTCTGGAAGGAGTAGGAGAAGCAGCAGTGGGGGGCCCCAGGCTCCTTCCCCACCAGACAAGCCCCCACAGCTTCATCCCTCCGTCTCATCTCCAGGGAGCTGGGGAGCATTGTTCATTTTCTGTGCGTGTGTTTGCTTCCCCAGCTTCCCTAGCTTCCTTTGCCCATCCTCTGTGAATGAGCTTACAGAGCCCAGCTTGGAAGGAAATGAATAGATCACACAGGTCCAGCCAGGGCTGTGTCTCCAATCCCTTTAGAAGAGAAAAGCAGGGCATTGTGGTGAGGCCGCCTCAGCCTGCTCAGCCCAGTGGGCACAAAATGGCCCCAAACATGTGTAAAGTCCAGCAGCCCCGTCTCTGGTCCTAAAGACATCATCTTAGCTACGGGATGGTCCTGAGCTTGCAGAAACATAGAGAATGGACTGGATTCTTTGGGTGGATTGGGGAAGCTGATGAAATTGTCTGAAGCAAAAGGAATCACCCATTTGGGTTAACAAGACTGCTGGCTGCGTATTTGGGAAAGTTTCTCCTTAGGGATATGGACGGAGGCGGTTGGGTCTGCACCTCGGACACTGTGCCCCATGGTCTGGCCAGTTTTGTAGAAGAAGATGCCAAAATTATGAGACAGACTCAAGAAAGTATATGTGATCAGAGCCCCTGGGTCTGTGATGTCATTATGGTATATGGTAGCCATCGGTCACATGTGGATATTCAAGTTTTAGCTAAATTAAATCAAATTAAATAAAAAATTTATCTACTCAGTCACACTAGCCATATTTCAAGAGCTTTTTAGCTACATGTAGTTAGTGGCTGCCATATTGGATAGGGCAGGTATGGAACATTTCCATCATCACAGAAAATTTTATAGGACAGCCTGCTGTAGATATTTGAATTTTTTTTCCCTTGTGGCTTCTAGAATACACTATGCTTTCCTGACAAGCAAATAATAGTGGCTGCTCTTCAAGCCAGTTTCTGGGCAAACTCATAAATTTCAGAAAAGTGAATTTTATTGGCTGTGTAACCAGATCGTAGGGGCCAGGGCTTGGCAAGAGAGATCATCATTCTCAAAGACTTCTTTGAAAACATAGATGTCAAGAGAGTTGTCAGCCCCTGTAATGCCAGGTATCAAGCTCTGTTCAGCCTTGGGATGCTTCACAGACCTTGTCACCAGCTCCCCATGCTTTCCCTATGGTTGCATTGGTTCCTCTTCAGACTTGAGTTTCCCAGCCTCCAAGTTCACGGCTCATGCGCATAGTTCTCCTTTTCCCCTGAAAACATAGTGGCTAATAGAGGTGCAATTCCACACTTGGCCAGTAGGAGGCTGTCCCCTAACAACGAGCTACCCCAGCATTAAAGTCAGGACTTGGTTCTAGAAAATGAGAGAGAAATAATATCCTTTACCTAATCATTTCTATCCATTGACACCCCAATGAGTACAACTGGGGACTCATTTAGTAATGTTGCTGATACTGATCTGAAAGGCTAACATTATGAAGCCGTAACTACGTGTCAGGCACTGGATCGAGTGCTTTATGTACATGAATACATTTCATTTTCATATTGGCGTTGTGAAGCAGATACTATTGTTAAGCCTATTTTTCATATGAAGAAACTGAGGCCATCCAGACTGTGTCTCAGCTCATGTTGCCTTCCTCGACTTCTGCAGAAAGTTCTATACAATCTCTCCTCCATGATTCCCCCTTGTGGGTCTACATTCCACCTCTTACCGCATCATGTCAAACACCTGTCTGTCCACTGAACTGCAAGCATCTCAAGGTGAAAGGCCAGGTCTTTTCCTGGCTGTATCCACAATGCCTAGTGCAGAGTCACCTCAGAAAACGTTTGTTAAGTGAACAAATGGTGGAGCTGTAAATACAAATGCATGTGTGCATTTTGACAGACTGTGCCATTTAGCCCACTTCTGTTTCAGGTGAGCTTGTGTACAGCTGATAGTGTCTGTCTATTTGGGGGAAAGCGTGGGTCTTTGCATACTCAGGGGGCTTTGTGGAGTATGAGGGGAAAAGGTACATTTCTTATTAGGGAACGTTGTCTAAACTCATTTAGTTGGAGGTCACCTGCCCACCAGGCGAAGCAAAGATCTGTTTATATCATAGAACTCCATTAAACAGCCACAGAGAATCATGGGAATTTAACCTTTCACTGCAGTTTTTATCATCTCTCCTTTGTTTTGTCTCTTTCCTTCATGATTTGTTCCCACGAGCTAGGCTGGGCCCAGGTTACAAGGCCACAGAAAAGAGAGCCACAGAGCAAGATAGAGAAGAGATCGACAAACAGCGATAATGCCCCTGCTTTCAGGAGCCCCTTATCTTATTTCTTTCACCTTGTGGGGAGACGTGTGCCTGGGTG